TTTTCCTCCTTCATCTCTGGCCCCCATAGCAAAGCACATCCACAAACAGCAGCCGCATGGATCTGTTGGCCCCTCACAGCCCAATTTCAAGTTCGAGCTAGCCAGCCCCCCGTACATAACTACGTGTTTTCCAGTTTTCAGGGGTCTGTAGAGATCATTTCATTAACCATAGCCTTCATATGCTTTATACTTACATGCATGTTTCAGTCTTCACTTAGGTCCCATAAAGCCCCTTTCAGCTCGTGACCTGAGAGCTGTGACCAATGACATGGACAGTGCAGGAAACAGAACTATAACCTTTACAGTTGTAAGTTCCCCTAGACTCGGGAGGTTGGTGCGAGTCAATTATGACAACAGCACAGAGGATGTTTCCATGTTTACGCAGCATCTGGTGAGTCCTGACATCTGTCCGTGCAGCTGGGCAGGGCTGGGCGTCTCTACAGGGCGGACCCCTTGCTTGTCCTCATCCTGTGAAGCCAAGCAGACGTGCCCATTTGCCCAGGCAGTTACTCATTCCCGCTGTGCTGGTTTTAAAACCGGACACTTTGTAGTGAGCACAGGATGGAACACAATTGTCAGAAAGCACCAAGCAAATTCAAACGCTGTGTCTAATAAATAAGAAGGGATCCTTTTATCACTAAAGATGAATTTAAAAGGAAACCCAAAGCAGAGTTGCAGGAGTAAATCCTACAGGATATGTCTGTCCATTTATGCTTAATATGTAAAATTATATACATAATTTCATGTATTGCTGTGCTTATATAAATATGTGCATATATAAGGAGAGGGTGTGTATTTAAGCTGCACCCAGAGCCATCTGTTTCCAACTTCACTGGTGCTTTACCACTGCCACCATCCACATGCCCTCTTTATATGCATAAGCCTTCAAGTCTTTTTATTTTTTTTATTTATTTATTTTTTACTTTTGCATCCTAGGAATCTGACTGACTCGTGTTTGCGTCTATGTGATTTCATTTTCTAAATGTCTATGTTTCCAAACCATCTTCCTGCATATAACTTTTCTTGCTTGCCATTCAGCTTTCTTTTTCCATTCTTAAACTGTGTGTACAGGGATCTGACAGCTGATCTGTCTATAGCTTTACATGACTAAGGAATAAAAAATCCAAAGTCAAGTTTAGAGGAAATAGCCGGAGTAAACCCCATGTCGGCCCTTTAACCGTTGAGCCATTTTTCTCCAGGGTGATGTGGCAGAATTGAATTTAGCTTTTGCTCTGCTATCGCCTTTGTCTGGGGTGCATTTAAGGGAACGGATCGTGAGGTTAGCAGAAGTTCTGAAAGTGACACTGAAAAGAGGAAGTATAAATTCTCTAGCTCACAGACGAACTCTGGAGGAAGAAAAAAGGGATTAGGGTGAAAACTGCATTGTGTGTGGGAGCTTAATGTGCCCAAAGGCATCAAAACCTGCCCAGGTTCAGCTTACATTTTGAATACTAGCAAGAATGATGTCAGTCATATTAAGATGCCTTACGTCTAGCCCTAGTTCTTTAAAAAAATATGTATTTTTTGATGATGATCATTTCGAGCGTTAGTTTCCACTACTTTTCATTGCAAATGTATAATATTTTAGATTAATATGGTCTAAATAGGCTTTAGTGGATATGGTAGCCGAGATCCACTAGGTTACACTGCAGTACCAAACAACTCCCCAGTCTCAACGGCTTACAATAGCAAAAGCTTATTTCTCACATATGTTGTACATGGCCTGTGGGTTCCATCTGTCCCTTATTCCAGGGTCCACGTTGAAGGAGCAACCCGTCTCTTGGGCATTGCTGTATTTGCAGCAGGGGGAAAAGAAGTGATGGTGGAAGCATGCGACAACTCCACGTTTATGCTCGGAAGTGCCACGTATCACTGTGCTCACGTCTCATTGACTAAAGAATGTCACGTGAGCAAGCCTGGTGTCAGTGGTGTAGGGAAGGAGAACCATCTCATAGGGAGGAGACACTGAAACAATAGAACAGTCCACCACGGTGGGCTAGCCTGGTAATCACAAAATAGTTGATGATACATTGAGAGTACATTTTCCTGTAAAAACAAACCTCCCTCACAGACAACACATTTGTCAGCAGGAATTAAAGCCCCTAGCTAGTTATGAGGTCATAGGGCAGGCAAAGTCTTGATTGATTGGAATCCAATTATTTTAAGGTTTTCTTTTTCCTCTCATTATTCCTTCTACTTGACGAACCAAGAGGCGAGTGTCAAGAAAATATATCATCAATGGCAGGTGGCAGTGGGTGATGTGTTGCCTTGGGGCTCAGGGCTGTAAAGGGCCTGCAGAGGGGTGTCTGGGATGAGGGGCATTAGAACCCACTGTCGGTCCTCGTGGAGGCAGGGGCAGGCTCCAGTGTGGAGGCACAGCCTGGGCAATGTCACAAGCCAGGCGTGGTGAGAGAGGAGTGTGTTCTCCTTCTCGAGTGGACCAGGAAAGCAGCCCTTCTCGCCACACACACAGCCCTTTCCTCTCCAAAGCATGCCGTGCCAGCGGCCTGGCCCAGTGCTCTGACTCAGGACACAGAGGAGAGCCCCTTTTGTGGTATACGAGGCATCAGACTGTATATCAGGCCGTTTATGCAAGTGCATTCCTGGATGTGACAATTCCTGTCTCCCCAAAGCAGCGTCTAAGATATATTTCTTCGAGTCTGTAGGAATTCAGCACGGCAGCCCACGCTCTCTGCCTTTGGTGTGTGAGTGTGGAGAGAGAATATAATTTAGGAATTGGGCGCCCTGTTGCTGCTCATTGATCCACTGCTGACCATTGATGACTGAGGACAGTGCCTTGGCTGGCCTCTAAGGTCAGAAGATCTGCATTAACTCTGTGAGTTATGGCAAATGACATATCTTTTAATCCTCAGTTTCCTCATCTGTAAAAGGGGGAAAATAGTAGTAATGACAATTGAAATCATTTTGAACATTCCGAATGTCCCAGGCGCCATTCTAAGCTTTGTTCTATACTACTCATTATGTCACTTTACAGGCCTGGATCCTAAAGCACAGGGAAGTTAAGCAACTCACCCGCCGCTACACAGCTGAGAAGTGGCAGAGTCAGAATTTGAACTCAGGGTCTCGGCTACTTTCCTCTTGGCCATAATGAATTAACACAGAAAGTGAATACAAAACGTTTAGCACACAGCCCCACATGCAGCAGATGTTAAATAAATAGTAGCTAAGGCTGTTGTGATTATCTTTTTGCCCTTGAAAATGTGAGAGATTCTTTTCCTCTCATAGTAGCCAAAGGACTAGTTTCACGGGGCAGGCAATTTTCTGGGACACTGGAATTGGCTGCTGTGTTTACCCTAATGTGCTGCAGTAATTTAATGAATGGAAATGAGGTCATTAGAAGAAAACGACATTTACTTCACCCTGTAACCTGCTTACTGTTTCCCTTTGTTGGAGAGTCCCTGGTGTTCTGGAATACATTTCCTTGAGTGATGACAAGAGGAGGTGGCTGAGGAAAATGTCAGGTGGCCTCATGCCTGGATTCAGCAGTACTTCATCCTGGGGCTGAGCACAGGCTGGAGACACAATGAGGCCTGGGGCTGGGGCAGCTCCAAATATCCCACCCCAGAGGGTCAGGGCAAGGAAGACCCCGTGGCAGGACTCCGCACCAGAGCAGCTGAGAGCTGCTGTACAAAGTTGAGGTGCTTTTGCAGGATATGTTTGGCTAAATTTCTAAACTTCTATGAATAAATTTCATTGAAATACCCTGTCTTCCCTTCCACTTCAGTAGTCATGAAGAACATCAGTAATGTGGGGAGAGGAGAATGTGCAGAGGAAACTCTGCAGGGATATAAACGCAAATGCTAACTCTGGCTCTTTTAGTGTGTGTGGTTTTTTGAGTACCAAAATATCACGCATTTATCGTAAAAATAAAATTAGAAAACAGTAAAGCAGAAAATTCATATTGAAAAAGACTGGGGCATCATCAATAAATTCAGTACAATTGATGTTCACCTGAAGGCATTCCAATTCCGTTTAGCTTGTGTGTTCAGAAGGCACATTTTAATTTGCGACTTGGGAAGAAGAAGAAAATTATTATCTCCCTGACTTCCCTCTTTTCAGGTCCTGTGTCCTTCTTCACATGCAAATGGAATGCGAATCTTTTCCTAAAATCTGCAGTTTTATGGCCTGTGTCAAACAGGGCCTTGGTCAAACTCTCAGCCATTTTATGATGGCTCAGTTTCCTCCCCAGCAGCTCCAGAACATTTTGGGAAGTAAAAGAAAGGGTGGGGCAGGTTTTGGAGGCAGTGAAGATGATGAAGACATTTTTTCTGAAATTACTTAACAAGGACATTTATTGAACACACATTATGTGCTTTGACTAGTCCTCTTTAGTCTAGTTGGTGAGAAGAGATATTAACAGAGGAAACAATTTTCATTGTAAAAGGCGCTCAGAGCTGTTCAGCCACGCTCATGTAATCAGATGGCTTCAATTGCTTTTTAGCTTTTCTAGATCAGTTTTTTAATTTCAAGTGTCAGTTCCAGCCCATAACGTGCCAAGTGTCCAAGGGGGAGAGTGCTTTAGGCACCTGATGGTTGAGTCCTCTTTCACTTTACCTTAAAGGACTAACTTCTTTCCAGCTCTCTACCACCCTCAGCTGGGGGAGGCAAGAACACCATATCATTTGCACATAAAACCTATACCCCTTTTTGCTTTTGATGGATAAACAAAAATGACCATTTTTTTTTCCGCTCTAGCTGTTTTCATATTTAATCATAATTATTTTTCTTATTGAAGTATAGTTGATTTACAGCGTTGCACCAATCTCTGCTGTACAGCAAAGTGACTCAGTTGTACACATATATACGTTCTTTTTTTATATTCTTTTCCATTATGATTTATCACAGAATATTCAATATAGTTCCCTGTGCTATACATTAGGATCTTGTTGTTTATCTGTTCTAAACGTAATAGTTTGCATCTACCAACCCCAAACTCCCAGTCCATCCTTCTCCCTCCCCCACTTCCCCTTGGCAACCACAAGTCTTTTCTCTATGCCTATGAGTCTGTTTCTGTCAAAAATGACCATTTTAATCAGTGGATCTGGATGGTTATAGCTTGTGAAAGAAATCTAGATGTTCTCCATTATGCTTAATATCATCCTTTAGCAAAGTAATTGTGGGGAAAACATTTGTTATGTTATAGCTCAAACTACTTTCTTAACCTGGAATAAATTCATGATTTTCAAACCATACCATATCAACCTACCAAGATAAACATGTAACATCTTTTCACCATAATATTACATCTGCCTAAAAGGGAAAAAGCTAAACCACAAAAAATTGTGCTGAAAATCTTATATCCTGAAGAATTAAACATACAAATACACAGAGAAGGTGAATCATCAAATTTTAAAATGAAATGAAAGCTTTTTACAAATTTAGAGAAATTATTGTTCATTTCAAAGAATGTATGAACAAAGCACATACACTGAATTCTCTAAAGCACTAATCTCTTCCTTGTAGAGCACAAGGCTAATTGAGTGATTTTTATTCCAGCAGTTGTTTAGATAATTTAGAATCATTAAAAAGCAAAGTGTTCTGGTTTTGAGGTTTATGACGCCTGGCCGTTTTGCTTTTCCATAAAGCCAGTAATTGCATTTTAGCCATTGTGCTGTTGTGGGTAGATCATCCATCTTCGTCTCTGCCTGCTGCTGCAACACAGATATAGGTTTCCAGGGTCACATTTAGAAAATAATATAATCGATTCTGGGTTATGAATTTTGTCTAATTACCCCCTCTTCTAGATTCTGAAGACAACACGTACATTTTAAGAAATTGCAAACACATTTCCCATAGGACAGAAGCTGATTTATCACAACTTAATGGAGAGTGCAATGGGATCATTAAACTTTGGCCCTTTACTTTTCTGAACAGAGAAGGATAAGTTTCTTTGTGTTAGTGATCACTCCTGCCCCACGTCCCCGCTTTCTTGGGGTCTCTTCAGTGACAAGCTCAATGGCAGCTAGACTCAGTAGTCATTTTGAACATTTTCCACTAGGTTTTTGTTTTGGCAGTTTTGTTTCGGCCCTTACAGTTCACTGAATTATGTGCTAGCATATTTTTCCATGTGTAGAAATTAGTGTATTGCACTGTCACTTAGTTACCTATTCATTGTTCAAACAAAATTGGCTGATGTGTCCTAGTCCAATGGCTTTGAATACCCAACAATGTTTCTTTCTCTTAAACTGCTGGCTCTTTCTTTGAAGAAGCAGATAGAACCAAATCCCATTTCAGTGAGTGTGGTTTATCCTTGCTCCTTGTAGTAATTTCCTAAGGCTGCTGTAATAAATTACCACAAACTTGGTGGCTTAAAACAGCAGAAATGTACTATCTCATAGTTCTGGAGGCCAGAAGTTGGAACTCCATTTCCCTGGGCTGAAATCAAGGTGTCAGCAGGGCCATGCTCCCTCTGGAGGCTCTAGGGGAGAACTCCTTCTTCCTTCTTCCCTCTGCCAGCTTTTGGTAGCTGCCAGCATCTCCTGGCATGTGGCCCCATCATGCCAATGTCTGCCTCCATGGTCACATCGCCTTCTCCTTTTCTGTCTGTATCGTGTATCTCTCTGCCTCCCTCTTGTAAAGGATGTATGTGATTGCAGTCAGGGCCCACCTGGATAACCCAGGATACTCTTCCAATCTTAGGAACCAATCTTAATCACATCTGCAAAGTCTTTGGCATGTAAGGTAACATTCACAGGTTCGAGGGATTCAGACCTGATATCTTTGATGGACATTTTTAGCCTACTACATTTATATATAACAAAAGCAAGGTGTCCCATACTCTTTTATAATGAATCACCTCTTACATGATCTCACTTGGTAGTTTTTAAAGAGCTCCATGCTTGTAATGGTATAAAGCCTACGAGAATCTATATCTACTTTCACATAAATGTGGATTTGGACCTCTCTGCCAGGTGGGGCTGTAGACGGATATATTGCTAGGCTCCTTGAAAAGCTTTTTGTTCTAATATTTTTATGCAGAGACTGACCCAGTATGGAGGGGCATGGATAATTATTTGGACCTGGTTTTCAATTGCCCATTTCTAGCTGGAGATTTCCAGATATCACCATTTAGGAACTTAAGTTTCCTAAAATGCCTCTTCTATCCATTTCCACTAAGGGGAATTATTCCTGGGACTTACCCCAGTCCCATTTTGTTTAGCCTGATACCTGGGCACCCTCTAACCTGTGGCACGCTGGACTGCCCCGGACTTCTAACCTCTTCTGGGAACCTTGAACTCTCCAGGCCCGGCTGCTCTCTGCAAACATAGTGGTACCAGTCCTGGTGGAAACAAGAAAGGGCACATAGAAAGGAGTCATTTCTCTGAGCTCATCGTTCAGGAGCACAGGAGCTTGTTGTTTTCCAAATCTTAGCCTTTAGGACTTTTTGGTTAACCTACACAGAACCTCAGAGACTTTATCTTTTTGAACTGTTTGGCTTTCTGTAGTCTCCTTTCCCCATGATTATCTGCCCAAGATAGAGATTTTTTGGCCAGCTCTCTTTCCCTTGCTCCTTCTGGCCAATTATTGTCCTGCTAGAGACTTGGCCCTTTGGCAAAGCCATCACGTTGTGGAGAATCAAGCGAGTGGACTGCGTGTCCCTCCTTCTCCCTCCCTTTTCACCCAGTTGACCCTAAGATAATTTGGTTACTCTCTTCTCCAGTGGGAATTTCAAAACTGTGATTGACTTTTAGGCCCCGCTCTGGGATAGATCAGTGTAAAGGACTCATGTTCTGGTTTTCTTACCAGGATTATGGGGGGTTATATTTAGAAAGACCCCTGGAATGAAGATATAATCCAGAGCTTTCTAGCCCCGCATTTTGGCCAAGCTTGACAATTTTATTCTCCAACACTCAGTTCTGACCACATGTACTTTTAGACAGGAATTGTCCTCAGCCTGGAGCCAGATGGAAACTCCTTTCCCCTCATTCCTACCCTCTTTCCCTCAATGTCCTATGAGAAAGTCTACCTGATCTACAATGGCAGTTGTGAAGAACTGGAATACAACCTTCCCTTAACTTGCCATTTGTAATAGATACTATATGCGGAGCTATTTCTTTGAATCCTTAAAAGCTCTGGCCAATAGTGACTGTGTCCTAGACAGGCCAGACTACAATGGCATTTGTCTGCCCTAGTCATACCTACCAACTGACTTTCCCCATTACTAGACTCCGTGGGGTTGGAGAGCATGTCTTGTGAATTTCTGGTTGACCACAGTCTCACTGAGCTTTCCACACATAGGTACAGTGCAGTGGAAAAAGTATAAACTCTGGAGTCACACAGGACTAGATTAAAAACTGGGTTCTTGCACCTATTGGCTAGAGTGAATTATTTAAATTTTCTGAGCCTCAGGTTTTTTAAAAAATATGTCAATGGACACAACAATTCTTGCCTAAAACAAAATTAAATAAAACGAGTTACATAATGTGCCTAGCAGAGCACAATTAAAGTTAGGTATTGTCAGTGTGTTTTGTTAAACAAATGGGTAAGAAATGTCTTGGATTGCCTTATTTCTACAGTTCAGGATGTAAATGTATACTTTATAATTAAATTTTGTAAAGTACTTTTCAAGTAGTTTATTTATTCATTAAACAAATATTTATTGAAATGCCAGATGTAGAACGGTGAACTAATACCCATTTACAAAGCAACTGTAAGTAAGCTTCTGACCTATGCGCCAGGATTCCAGCCTACAAAGTCCTTTGTTTTGTGGGAAAATATTTATTTTATTAGGCATATTTCAGAACTTTCTGATTGCTTAATATTCTCATGCCATGATTCACTGTAAAAATGAATATAGCTTTCCAACTGTAAGGAATTGGTTAGTGAGGACTTAGATCCTTTCTTGAAAGACCTAGAAATGCCCGAGGCCTGCCATTTTGAACATTGATATGGCAACAGACCAATTAGGTCAAATGCATATCTACAAGTGAGATATTATTCTATATTTTAGTGCATAAATGGAGGCTCAGTGAGATTAAATGACTTGCATAAAAGCCACAGAGCTGACAGTTGGTAGCATTTGTATTTGACTTTAGGTCTGATCAATCCAAGGTTCAAATTCTACTACACTCCTATACTTAGATTTTTATATTAATGAATGTCCTTTTCCTTCTTGGAGGAAGAATGGTAGTAATTCAAGCAGTTGGAGCCAAAATGGCCCCAGTAATGTGCGCTAAAGAAAGAGCTCTTATCTACAAGCCTGAAGATCTGGGTTCTGGTCCCATCTCTGCTCCCAGCTAACCCTGCCATTGAGTGGAGGGAGAGGAATTGAAACCGAGAAGGACCCTTGGGGCCCCTGAGCACGGAAGCCTTTTTTGTCCCCTGTTTCTTGTAGGCAAGACTCCAGCCTCCATGACCTTCCCTGAGTTCCAAAGGGCAGATTCGAACAGTTGCTAATCAAGGGAGGAGCAGCCAAGAAACCACCTGAGGTGAGATTAATGGGACCAGAGAAGCTCATCCAGATTAGGAGACGAGCCCACCAGAGACAAGATTAAGGCATCACAGGCCCTGCACACACCCTAATCCTGTCAGCAACCCCACCCTTGAACTATTGCTATAAAACTCTTCATCAAATCCTCCCAGGTTAGGACACATAGTTTTCGAGGGCAGGAGCCTGCTGGGTCCCCCTTTGCCTGGCAAAGCAATAAAGCTATTCTTTTCTGCTTCACCCAAAACTCTTTCTCTGAGACTCATTTCAGCACCAGTGCAGAGAGGCTGAGCTTTCAGCATCGGAATTACCTGGAATCCCAACTTCTCTGAGCATCTCAGTAGCCTCTCAGCTGTAAACTTTGACCCATCACACAAAAGTCAATAGGGTCCCTGGCCATCTGAGAGCCAAATATGTCTCTTTAGCCTCAGACAAATGTTTTTCTTTGTGGTTCTATAGGAATCAAGGGACGATCCAAGGGATGTTATCATATTATCCCTTCTAGTAAAAGCACTACTCTGAGAAGGTCTAGGACTTGGAACCACATATCCACCCATTCATAAGTCAGGTAGGAATACGGCCTCATTAAAGTCCTAGAGAAATGGACCAAGCTGGAGGTCGTAAAGAGTGGACCATGTTGGGATAGGCAATAACCACTTCCTGATTTCATAGTGCCCAAGGCATTCGTGGGTTCCTTCTCCCATTCTGCATGTACTGAGTCATCAGAGAAAAGGGACTATTGGTCCGTTCTTGAAGTTGGTATAGTAAAACACCATGGGATTTACTTTTTTAAATTATTATTTTAACTTCTTATTTTGAAACAATTTCAGACTCAGAACAGTCGCAAAAGAATACAAAAAATTCTCTTATACTATTCATCCATATTCACCAAATGTTAGCATTTACTGACTTTTATCTAACTTAGCTTTATCATTCTCCCTACACACACACACACAACTTGAAATTTTGAGAGCCAGTTGCAAACATGATGCCCTCTTACTACTGTATTTAGTAATATATTTATATTTATTTACCTCTATACTTAGTACATTTATATTTAGCTCTGTATCGTTCCTAAAAACAAGGGGCCATTCTGCTATATATCCACAGTATAATTTTCAGCAGCATGAAATTAACACTGATACAATGCTATTTTATAATCTATAGACCTTAGTCAAATTTCACAAGTTGTTTCAGTGAATGTCCTCTATAGCAAAGGAAAAACCCATAGCATAAAACACAGCATTTAGGGGCTTCCCTGGTGGCGCAGTGGTTGAGAGTCTGCCTGGCGATGCAGGGGACACGGGTTCGTGCCCTGGTCCGGGAAGATCCCACATGCCGCGGAGCGGCTGGGCCCGTGAGCCATGGCCGCTGAGCCTGCGCGTCCGGAGCCTGTGCTCCCCAATGGGAGAGGCCACAATAGTGAGAGGCCCGCGTACCGCAAACAAAAAAAAAACATAGCATTTAGTTCTCAGGAGCCTTTGTCTCCTTTAATCTGGATCCATTCCGCAGTCGTGTTGACTTTTGTGACCTTACCATTTACTGAAGAGAACAGGCCAGTTATTTGTAGGAAGTCTCTCAGTTTGGTGTTTTTTTTTTTTTTCAGTACGCGGGCCTCTCACTGTTGTGGCCTCTCCCGCTGCGGAGCACAGGCTCCGGACGCGCAGGCTCAGCGGCCATGGCTCACGGGCCCAGCCGCTTCGTGGCATGTGGGATCCTCCCGAACCGGGGCACGAACCCGTGTCCCCTGCATCGGCAGGCGGACTCTCAACCACTGCGCCACCAGGGAAGCCCTCTTAGTTTGGTTTTATCTGATGTTTCCTCATAATTCAGGTTATGCATTTGGGGCGGGAAAGCCCTGAGAGAGGCTGGGTTCTTCCCAGAGCTTCCTGTCAGGAGGCACTGGTGCTCTCTTTGCCCTGTCACTGACAGTGATTTCTTTCATCAGTTGGTCAAGTGCTGTCCTTTAGGTTTCTCCACCGTGAAGGTTGTATTTTCCCCTTTGAATTCTATAAGTATCTGTGAGGAGATACTTTAGAGCTATCTAAACATCCTGTTTCTGATCACAATTTAGCTCACTAGTTTTAGCAGCCATTTTAGGATTCTTGCCTGAGGCATTTATTACTACTTGGTTGCCAAATGGTGATTTTTCTAGTTTTCTGTTTTTCCTTCTACATTGGAATTCTGCCCCATTGAATTGCTAATGACATTCCAGAAAGACTCTGTAAAAGAGAAAATATCTGAGCTAATCTAAATCCATAGGAAATAAAAACACCCCTCTCCCCTCTCCTTAATCCCAGAGCCCAGGTATTTTGCTAAGTGGCTTATCTGTCTATATTTAACACAGTGGAAATAGGCAGAGCTGTTGGAAGTTGTTCCTAAGGCTGCTTTCTATTTAAGGTAACAAATAATTCCTAATCTTCTCTGAGAACCTTCTCTCCTCAGGTTGACCCTATACTTTTTTCTCATAAAGTCTTGGTCTTATTATTTTCCCTTTCCTGGCCCTCTCCCAGTACACACACACACACACACACACACACACACACACCATAAAACCTGACTCTTAAAGCTGGTGAAGTTAAAGCTGTTTTCTAAACATTAGAGACTCTACTCACCTCAAACCTCTTTCAGGGCATGACTGGCAAGTTGACATTCCAAAGGCGCCCTTACTCCCTTTGACTTCTAGCTCAGCACTTTCAATCACCTGCTATCTGGTCTTAAAGCTCAGACACTCAAGGTGAATCTAATTCATTTCTCTCTCACACTCTCCCATGTGAAGTAAGTCACTTTGTTTTCCACAATTTCTCACTCTTAAAATGACTTTTCAAAAACAGAACCTAAAACAGATCTCTCCTCCACTAGGCTCCTGAAATACAAAACTATGTTTAAGACTCTTCCCCAGTTACTTCCTTCAGAAGATTTCTGACCTTCATCACCACTCTTCCCATCTATGAGAACCATTCTCTCCCTGGGACAATCATTCTCCTTACAGTAGATATCAGAAGACCTTAGATTATTCTAATAACTTGTTATATTTTTTTAGGGAAGCTAATTTTCACTTAACACCAAAGGAGCAATGAGCACGAATGACCTGCATCCAAGAAAACCTTCCCTCCTGGTTAATAGACGCTGTTACTTTTAATATTAAGAAACTGGATCTCTTTTGCCTTATAATATTATGACTCTTAAGTATAATGGGAACCTTTAAGGAACCATCCTCTGGTCTGAAATCCATGGCACAGTCACCTGCTTCTAGGAGGAGGAATATATTTATGATTGATCTTTTGTCATAAATCTTAAGCTAGGAATAGAAATGGTAGATCTACTAAATAAAACTGACTTTATTCCCCAGGAGCTTCTGGGGAATTAAGTTACTAGTTAGTACCAGAAATTACTATCTTTGGAGAAACTCCAATTTCTCACGAGTAACCTTGCTTTTTCTATTAGGAAATATTGAGAGATGATATATTCTTCTCCCCACTTAAAATCCCCAAGTGACAGCACTTCCTTGCTTTATCCTTGAATAGGATAAGAAACAAAAAATCTCCTCAACAACAGTTTTGGCCACTCTGGGAACATAGATCTTTTCAGATCTTTTCTTCCATGAAACTCACTAGTCAAAAGCCTTTCTGGTTCTAGATACATCCACTGTAACAAGCAGAGAGTCAGAGCAATGCATCACCAAACCTCTGTTAATTAATACAGTACAGTCATCGCTACATATCTGCAGGGGATTGGCTCCAGGAGAACCGCCCCCTCCTCCCCCACCGCCATGGGTACCAATATCCGAGGATGCTGAAGTCCCATATGTAAAATGGAATAGTATTTGCATATAACCTTCTGTATACTTTAAATCATTTCTAGATTACTTACAATACCTAATACAATATAAACGGTATGTAAGTCCTTGCCAGCATGTGGCAAATTCCACTTTTGCTTTTTGGAACTTTATGGAATTGTTTTTCCAAATATTTTTGATCTGCGGTTGGTTGACTCTGTGGATATGGAACCTGTGGATATGAAGGGCCGTATTTCCGATACTGGCTGATGAAACAAACTCAACTTCTCTCTAAATTACGTGATAACTTATCCTCGGCACGTTTGACGTGGACACGCAAGTATTTCGCCAGAACCTACCTGTAAGTTCAGATATTATAACAGATAGCAGGTCAGAAAAAGATGTGACCTATAGGAATTAAGGGTCGAATATTTTCTCTCTAGCCTTCCCTTCTGTGGTTGCAGTTTTAGAACGTTCAATCACTGCTGTTGAGGGAAGGACTGCCCACATGGTATCTGGACAACACAACACTGGGTAGAACCCATCTCCATCCGATGAGATAAAAAGGACACTGATAGGCCACAGGCATTAGGGACTTGGATTACATCTTGAAAAATATCTTAAGCCAGGTGGGGCAGTTTGAAAATCAATGAAAATAATACTTGCAATGGAATGAAATACATCGTATATTAAAATTCATGAGTTGATGATTCTTAAACAAAGAGAACAATGTTTGGAGATTGGAGCCAGGGAACTCACCTTCTGAAAAATGATATATAAAGGGAAAGAATCAAACGCTTAATCCTGTCTTTCCTGCATGTACTGCGCAACCAAATAGCTGATAAGAGAAAGTTCTTTATAAATAGAAGAATTACAGATAAGAATGAAGAAGGAATGATAAGATAAATAATATCAGTGTTTTGCCACTGCAAAAATAATGAGTTTAGGCAATTGTATCAATGAGTATGTAAAGCTATTAGTTGATAGGCTTATGGGGAACCTTAAGATAGCTGGATGGCAGCACTTGAAGCCACTTATCAATCTTAACACATCCTAAAGAGCAGCAGCCCAGCATTATTTTGCCTTGCGATGCAATGCAAGAGGAAATATACAATACAACGTGTAAAACATTCTTACCAAAAAATTGAACCTGATTCTTATTAAGCCTCTAGATTTAACCGGTAGTATATAGGAAATATAGGGACCAGAGGAACATGCCAAACAACACCATATGGATGCAATCAGCAAAATCCAGAATGTAGGAAACTCAAAAGACAAACAACCCAAGTTCTTCAGCAGATAAATTACAAGAAAAAAAATTAGAGAAAGGGAACCTATAGATGAAAAGAAACCAATGAGAAGTACCAAACAAATGTGAGGTGTGGATTTAGGATCCTGACTCAAAGCAACTATGTTAAAAAAAAAAAAAAAAAAAAAAAAGACATGTACTAGACCACGAGAGATATTTGAACACTAACTGAATATTTGAAAAAAGTCATCTTTTACTAATACTAGAGCATTTACAGATGAAATGACATGATGTCTGTGATTTGCTTCAAAATAATCTCGTGGGCAGAAACGTGGGTAGGAGTACATGTGAAGCAAGATTGGTTGGGAGCTGGTAGTTACGATGCTGACATGGAAGTGAAGGTTCATTATAAACTTTTTATAATATATATACCTTAGGCATTAGTCATCTCAGAATCAATGTACTTTTCTTTCTCTGATAAGTAGATCATTTTGGTAATAGAATCACTTAGGTTTGACCAATAAGCACACTTTTAATGTTCCTGAATTTGCATGGAAATGTGCAGAAGTTTGAGGAGGGGTAGAGTAAACCCTGAAAAGACATGTATCTCCTCCAATTAGGATATACGTTAATTCTCGTATTATCCCTCAAACCAGGGGCTGATTTTTCTTACTATCTGGCCAGGTCAGTGAGCAGCTGGTATTATACCAGCATGTAGACCGGGAAAATACAGGCTGGACTGCAGAAGACTCTTTCATGTTCACAGTGTCCTCCCCACCAGCAGCTCTAGGCCCTGAGGAGTTTCCTATAACTATTTCATATGAAATTAATGAGCCTGGTCGGCAGAGTCGTCTGCTCGCAAATACAGGTAATTCCACCATGATATAGTCAGTACCTTATCTCTAATTATTAAAGTAGGGACAATTTGGAAATACATCTTTTCCTTTTTAATCGTCAATGCCAATGTATCCACCTTTGAAATAAAACTTATATGGCTATAAGAATTTGTTATTTCTTTATGTGTGCTCTTTCTCTGGGCCTCTGCTCTCTCCTCTCATATGCCTCAATAGATGTAGTGGGGAAGGATGGCAAATTAGCTTTACAGAATTCTTATTTGTACCTCCAAATGGGGACTTCACCATGCCCATGACTGAAAACTGTTGATGGAAAATGAAAATAACAAATAGGGCAAGTTCTTAAAAGGAAAGGGGTATTGAAAGCTGCACCTGTTTCCATGGCAAGAGAAAGTGCGGTAGTAGGTAAGTTAGGAGATGAACACGTTATAAGTGAATCTCAAGGTTTTAAAACTCTCTTACGTGAAATGTTGACTTAACAGTGTGGGCGTGTGTATTTAAAATTTACTTTTTTCGTATGCTTTGGGTAGCAGTGCTAATTCAGATACCAAGGTATTGTGAATTATCCACTAGGACAGGCAAATCTGAGGGAGAAAAAGTGTTACAGCTGTCATTTGAAAATTCTAACGAGATGTCACTTTGGTCTTTACGTTTGTTTTTAACAGGAGCTGTTGTCAAGGAAGGAGACAAAGTTCTCATTGGCCAATCTAAGTCGGATGCTTCCAACCTCTTATTTAAATTGCCCAAACCTCAGCGTTCTTCATATGAAACTTGGTTCCAAGTTACATCTCTTCCTCACCATGGAACTATTATGGTTGGAGAGAGGAATATTACCAAAAGCAAACCCAATTTCTCTCAGTATGTAATTAATAAACTTGGAATCACATACCTTCACGATGACTCTGAATCACGAGCTGACAGTTTTACCTTCGCCGTTTGGCCCAACCAAAAGAGCAAGTCCACCACTAAGCCAGAGGCTGACTTTCTTGAAGAGATGTTTAACATCACCATCACTCCTATAAATGACAAGGCACAAGAATTAAGGACAAAAGGGCTTCGGTTGAAAGTTCTGCAGGGCAATAGGTTGGTTTTAGGACCTGAAAACCTAAAAGTGGAAGATCCAGACAGTCCTCCAGAGGAGATCAGATATATGATCATCCGTAAACCTAATAATGGTTTTTTGGCAATGGCTCACCGTCCACACATACCTGTTCAGCATTTCACACAAGCCCACATTGATAACTCTCAGGTGTGGTTCATACGAGGTGGAAGCCCATTCTCCGGAGTTTTACTTCAGTGTGACTGATGGCCAACACCGCCCACTCTACAAGCTCTTCCACCTGGATGTCATCCCCATCTCCATCATCCTCGTGAACCTCACTGACCTACTTCTCCCACAAGGCCAGACAACCGTTCCCATCACCAGTGCTCACCTATCAGCAGTGACCAATGGGAGAAGCCCCCAAATCACGTACAAGATAACACGGCCCCTCCAACATGGGTATCTGCTCGTCGAAAACCAGGTGGTCATCAGCTTTGGACAGGAGGATCTGAATTCAGGAAAGCTCTCTTACCACATGACACACCTCACTGCCTCAGAGGACCAGCTACGGTTCTCGCTGTTTACATCAGGACAAACACCGCACAGCAGGGTGCAGCCTTTCCTGCAGGTTATGTCAGATCTGACAATTGCCAACAGAGTGGCCCATCAGCTGAGAAGGAAGGACCTTGATGCTACTGAGCTTGCTAACAGGACTAACAGTGATCCCAAATCTGAAGTGACAGAACCCCCTGTCCATGGCAGACTTGTACGAAGAGTGGCCCGGGTCACCGCAATGGAAGACACAACTCTGTTCACTCAGAAGGATGTTGACCAAGGACTGTTGATGCTCGAGCCACGCGCCAGTCTAACCGGCACCGATAGGCTGAATGACTCCTTCACGTTCCTGCTCAGGGCAGCCCACATACAGCCAGCGACAGGTTGTCTCCCCTTCACCATAGTGCCGCCTGACCCCTTTCTTTTGCAGACCTTTACCCCTGATGTTTCTTTACTAGTCACTGCAGATAACCTTGTGACTTCAGGTCTCTCTCAGGAAAAGCTTGTGATTTCCTCAGGACCTACAGCACAGACAGGAACTCTGGGGAAGCTGACCCAGACCAGATGGCAGGAAGCAGATCCCTGGGGACGACACAGTGGTGAAGAGCCCACTCTGGATGTCAAGGCCTCTCCCACCAGAGTCATTTGGCTACCAGATGCCACCAAAGCCAGCCCTGGGCACCCACCCAGCCCAGGGAGGGCAGCCTCCTTCTGATAATCATACCATTGGAACCCACACCCCCAGGTCCTAGGCCGGAAAGGAGCATAGCTGTTCCCACTGTCACAGTGATGGCTCTTCTAAAAAGCTCCAACAGTCCTCTGGTCAGTCTTTTCAGGGCCCAACAATGCGAGCACATGGAAAAAATCTCCAGTCATTGAGCCAGTGGAAAAATGTGTTCCTTGGGAGACATGTGTGAATCTGGATCCTGACATGGTCAAGCTCTGTCGACAAACCAACCCAACATTGAAGCACAACCAGTACTGGGTGTAGATTGAGGGTGCTTGTTCCTTACTGACCACCTGCTGTGTGTCAGGTACTGGGATACAAAGACAAAGAAATGCTGGTTGGATCAACTGAGAAAAGCCCAGCCCTGCCATCCCTTGGTGTTCTGTAGTAGCTCCATGGTTAGGTGTTGGCAGGTGTTTACTGTAACTTTTATACAACACTCATGTTATGGGCTGTCCACAATGAGCTTTGTGTACCCTCTTCTGGACCTGATGCTCTGAGTGTACGTAAGATTTTGCCACTATTTAAACCCTTTACCAAGGTGTGACAGAACATGCTGGCCCGACTGCAGATTAACATGGGAGCTAGAGTTAGTGGAGGAAGGCTTTGACTGTTTTTCACTGAGGATTCACTCGGAGTGATTCAACGAGGAAGTAAAGAGCTGTTTCTGCAAGTAGGAGAGGTAATGTGTCATATCAGTGAGTTTGTTTCTAGTGTTCTTCTGTAACGACTTTTCCCCCTTGGAGTCTCTAGCTTTGACTTCTTAATGCAAGAAATGCCTTGGTGCTCCAGATAGTACGATAGCCTGGCCCCCTTTGCAAGTATTCATTGAATACATTGAGTTTCATCAAGAGGCTGTGTCTATTCTGATTTGTAACATCAAGCCTATAGTACAAATATTATTTGAAGCCCTAAAGAATAGGTTTAATGCTTTTGTGATACCTCAATTTGGTTTCACTTTACAATGAACTGAAATAATGGCAAATTTGTATTTGACTTGTCTAGTCGAGCCTACCATTGGCCGACTCAGCTTCAGTTTCTGTCATTGTAAAATGGTGACATCAGTACTTCTATTAGTTAGGAATGCTTTGGGTAGCAAATCACAAGACATCTGCCACGAGTGGGGTTTAGGTTGCAGATTGGCAAACTTGCTCTGTGCAGGACCATATAGTAAAAATATTTTAGGTTTTGTGGGACACATATGGTTGCTTTTTAAAAATTTTTAAACAACCTTTTAAAAATGTAAACACAATTCTTATTTCCTAAATGTTACCCACAGACCATAGTTTGCCAATCATTGGTTTAGCTAAGCAATAAAAGTGTTCAATTATTTCTACGAACAAGCAGCCTGAGGTGGACATTCCAAGGCTGGTTCAACAGTTCAAAGATGTTGAGAACTGAAGCCGTTTTGTTCTTTCTGCCTTACCTTCCTCAAGCTATTGGCATTTCATCCTTTTGTTTAGCTCCTTGTGATTGTGAGATGGCTGCTGAAGCTCCAAGCAATACAGTCCCACTCAAAGGCAGAAATCCTAGTGGGGGAAAAGGAGAGACTTTTTCTTAGAGAGGATCTTATTTATTATTATTTATTACTATTTTTTAAAGTCTTGAGGCCTTCCCAAATATTTCCCCCACTTTTTCATCTCATTGTCTAGAACTGAGCAACATGATTCCCATCCTTTGACCAACCATTGGCAAAGGGAAATGGGATTCACATAACTGACATCTCTTCTGGGGCTGAGAGAGGATTCTGCCAGGTCAGAGATCAATGAATCAGCCCACCATGTAATTAGGGAAGGCTGGGAAATGGCAATTAGGCAATGTGTAGAATCTACTCTTCAAGTATTGAAATACTTGGGAAATTATTTAATCTTTCAAATTGGCATCTACTTTAATATCTCCTTTTCATATTTTAATGATTTTCTTAAAGCCAGTGTTTCTAGTGTGGGGGGAGGAACTTCCCCCTAAGGGGCATTTGGCAATGTCAGGAGACATTTTTGGATTTCACAGCTGGTGCTGCTGGCATCTAATGAGGACAGGCCAAGGATGCTGCTAAGTATCTGTACAAGACAGCCCCCATGGCAAAGAATTACCTGGCCCCAAATGTCAATAATGCTAAGGTTGAGAAACTCTCGTTAAAGCCATGATGTAGAGTTTTCTTGTATACCCAGTGAAGGATTAGTAAACCCATTACCACGTCTAGGCAAAAAATTGTATTCTAAAAACAGAATGGAAGGGTGAACATTCCGTAGTATGTTTGAAATTGTTATTGGCTAATGGTAAACATGAACATTTTTTAGAGAAGGTATTAAAAATCAAACAAAACTTGAACAGACTCATTTCTTTATATTCCTTGCCTAAGGAAAAATATTTGCCTTGTGTTAACAGGTGGAGCACATCAGGAGAAAAAGAAAAAAAGCAGGGTAGGATATTTACAAAGGTAAAGATGAGGTCAAAGTGTCCCCAAAATTCTGATGCCCCTGATGTGTTCCATATGGAAAAGGCCTTTTTCTCACCTTCTCCCTTTCTGCTCTTCTAGGTTGCTTTTCTCTCCCAACCCAATTTTAAATGTTCTTTGTGGAAACAGATTTCACAGTCTACAGAATAAATGGAAGCATAGCCTATGTGGGCCTAGAGACAACTACCCTTGTCTTAGATCCTTGGATGTAATGCCACAGACAACTGTTGCCACCATCCCTGGCCATGGACAACTGTTGCTGAAGAAGACTTCTCTACTCCTGTTCCAAAAGTGATTCCCTCCTGCATTTCTGGATTCCTCGATTTTATATAGCCCCCTCAAGTGTTTTTTGTATTTGATCCCTTTAGAAAGGAGGAGGAATGAGAGTCTTAACCCAAGGTTGGCTTGATCACTGTGCAACTCAGAATTGTTCTTGGGCCTGTGCCAAGCAGTTGGGCACTCAGAAGAAGCAGAATGGCGGTGCTTGAGCTTATACACAGAGAGAGAAGGCTGAGGAGCATCTTTGCATCTGGTAAGTGGGCCTTTGCTCTCCCTTGACTGGGCAAGGAGAATACCTGTTCTTTGGGGAAGAGCCAGACATACTTGGCTTTGTGACCATGTTGGCCTCTTCCTTGCTTCAGCCATAAAATCTCTGGAGCTAGGACTACCAGCCTGGCCAAACAAAAAAGTCTGATTTCCTTCCTCTTTTTCCTGTTAAATCTGCAACTCCAGGCCAATAAATTTGGTGTCCATATTGGAATGAGACACACACAAATGCTTTAAAATGATAATTCACATTGTTTATGAGTGTGCCTGCTACAGCAAGAACATCAGTGTGAGACCCAGATGCCAAGAATCACTCATTAATCATGTAATTCATATGGAGCTTGGGCAGATTTCTTCCAGAGGATCTGGGATAGTCTACCGATTTGCATATGCGTTCAATTTAAAAGGCAACAATGCCTATCATTTGGTGCTCGCTCAAATAAAACATGAAATAAAACATTTTGGCAAAGCCTTGTTTAGTGTTGGAAATTGAAAATCAGTCCGAAATGGTTTCTCCCATATGTAGAGCTATAACTGCATAGTCTCAATTCTGAATTCATAATGAATTCAGTGCTTCTTAACAAATGACTGGTGATTTAATAAGTGGATACTAAGGGGTACTATCAGAAGAGTAGCTGATTTTGCTTAAGAGAAGGTATACTTTGGGGTGGGCTCGGAGTGGAGGGTCTAATGTTTTTCCATATCTGGAGACTTTGGCAGATTCTAACCTTTCAGAGATCCTGCTCAGACACTTGGGGGTGCTTCCTTAGAGTCGTGCATTAATTAGGTAAAATCGAGATGACACAGAAGCTGTTCTTCAGATTTCTGAGGCTGAAGTGGACACATCTGGAGAGCGGGTGGTAGGTAATGGGACGTGATGGAATATATCAGATGACATTCCCTGAATTTGGGGATGGGGCTACACTACACACCTCCTGCATCTTTCAGAGGTGTTGTAATTAATAATGAGGTTTGATTTGGACCTGCGTAGGGAGAGATGTGGGAATAAAAGTGGGCATGGAGCCCACTGTGTGGCATGCTGAACTCTGGAGACTTTGCTAGCCTGCTCAGGAACACCACTAACTGTTTCATGGGGACCAGGAAGAGGCTGCCTTCTCGTAGTGATCTGCAAACATTTATTATTCACCTACTGTATGTGAGATGCTAGATAGTTGATACTGCTTCTAGATATTGAAGATGCAAGATTTTGTCCTGAAAGGAGCTCTTTGGTCTGTTTCCTCTATTGGCTCCTCCAGAATCACACAAGGAATGCCAGGAGAAAAGAGGGTACAGAAAGAGGACAAAAGGAGACAGAGGTTAAGAAAGGGCTTTGTGTTTTTACTTGAAGCACTCTTAGGTAAATGCTGCCTACCCAGTGGTGCAGCAAGAATCAGGAAGCTCACTGGCCCATCGACCTCCACACTTCTCAGCCCGACCTTGTATATTCTCAGAAGAAGTGACATGGCAGTGTGGTTAAACAATAGACTCTGGGTCTGTTTTGGATCCTGGCCCTCTGTTCCCAAGCAGTGTAACTTTGAGTAACTTATTCAGTCTCTCTGAACTTTAGTTTCCTCAGCCAAAAAATGGGGATAATATTAGCACCTGTCTCTTTGGGTTTTGTTAGGATTTAGTGATATAATCACTGGATGTTAATATCATCATATGTGTACAGTATTTTCAATGCATCAGGCACTATACAAAGTGCTACAGAGGAATTTTCTTACCTAGGGTTTTAATGCACTTTAAAAGAATTAACACAGTAAGTCACTTGAGTAAACCAGAGGCTCATATTTTTAAGAAGAGGAGCTTCCCAAATGCTCATACTCTACCTACAGGCAGGGCTTTCCCCTTCATCCTTACACAGAGCCTTGGCAAGAAAATGGATGAAGGAAAGAGCGCGCCAGGAACACTCACATGGGGCAGACTTGAGCTTGGAGGTATCGATGGTTCTCTATCTTGTAGGGGGCGCTGAGCTGCTGATCAAATGCCCGCACTGCTCTCTGCCTATCCAAGTGGCCTCCAATCCCTACATCGACCAGCCTCTTGATTCTGAACACCTACCTCCTCTTCTTCCTCCCAACCCAGTATCTTCAGACATTCATGAGCCAGTAATTTTCAAGTCCAAAATTGGCAAAGGACCGACACTGAAAAAAAATTAATATCCTTCCTTGGCAGAAAAAAAAAAAAGTACTGCTTACGATCACCATGATTTCTAAGGTAAGGAAGGAATCTTATAATAAAGAAACTTATGGAAAAAATAAGCAGCTTTATGAAAAATTCTCTCCTTTTTCCAGACTTGACCTTGGCCTGGAAAAACCTTAGCACACACCAGCAGGGTCAGGAACCCCCCTGCCTTGCCTATGGATGTGTGGTCAGAGCCGAAGGAGAGGCAGAGAAGAGGGAACTCAGCCCCTCAATGTCAATGTGTCTTATGGAGATGTAGTCAGGAGTACGTGGTGTGTGTGTGTGTGTGTGTGTGTGTGTGTGTGTGTGTGTAGGAGTGAGGGTGAGGGTAATTTGCTACTTTAGAGTCCACACGAGGCCAGCTTCATGGCCATGTACAACCAGTGCAGTCACACAGGGTCCACTCTCAGAAGGACCCTTGGCTTTGCTTATGCTCTGCTGTCACCACCTGGAAATTCTAATAATTTTGGAACAAACACCCCACATTTTCATGTTGGACCCTGAAAATTCTGTACCTGATTCTGAGACCTCACAGAACTTAGTTGATAGTTGCATCAGACACCTCTTAAGCATTGTTTCAAATTCTCTGATACTGGCTTCCTCCTCTAACTATGGCTGAGGCTACCAGTTCCAGGTGTGTTCACAGCTATAAATGAGTGTATGGTGTGCCTTGTGCCTTCTACCCTGGGCCCCTGTGTCTTCACAGCATGCCTGTGGGAACTTTTGGTTGCACACCCCGGAAGTAGGGAGAGTTAACTCCCCACAAAACAGCCCTTAGCCAGTGGCAAAGTGGAGCTGACAAATAAATACTTCCCCCTTTCATCCCATGGGTAAACAGTTGTAAAATGCATTCTGTGAGGCTTCTCAGAGTGTCCAGAAGATTGAGCATAAAAACATAGGTATGGACACTTCCAGTCCTATTTATTATCCCTGTCTATCTCACAGAGGAGCCTTTGCTTTGGAGGAAACCTAGGCTAAAATAATAGTTCACATTCTCCTAGTATTGTGTGCTCCAGGACTATGGACCCTGGGGCTCTTGGTTTTTGCATGAGTCTTAGGCACACAGTTAGCCTCTGGATTACTTGCCTCTAGGGACCACTCCTTGCAGGACCCTTTATCGGCAGCAGCTCAGGTCTGCAGGTGGGAGCCAGGAGGCCTTGTGCTGGTGGGAGCCTTGGCCATTTTGGCACCATGCTGAGAAACTAGGCTTTTCCCAAACCACCTTCTAGTTGAAAATCCCTTTACTCTTAATTACGGTTAGTCTGCCGGTCATGTTAGGTCCCAGAAACAATAACTTGTTCACCACAACTTTTAGCAAGTCCAAGATTTAATGCATTTTGTAATA